CCACTGACGTGCACACGTTTTTGAATCGTTTGAACGAACCGGCGCGCAAGTTCAAAGAAGACGTCGTCGCTCTCTGCTATGGCTGCGCGGCGCTCGCCACGATCTCGACCAACCACGCTGCGCTTTCAACGTGGATCAAAGCCACGTGTCCGATGGCGGCGCCGCAGTTGTACCATGGTGTCTACTGCATGGCGACCGCGAAATGCATTGCGTCCAAAACCAAGTACCCGACCGACGGCGACGACGCGCTGTGCTACGCGTCGTGGCCATTGACGTACATGAACCCGGCGTACGACACGTGCTTCGGTGACACGCTCTTGTCGATGACGCGCACGTACGAGGTGGCGACCGCAGTCACCTCGAGTGTCCTCGTGTTCTTCTTGACGCTGCTTCTGGCGCGTGTGTGGGTCGTCCGCCGCGCCGCAAAACTATGCGACATGAAGCGCGACGCTGTCTTCACGAGCCCTGTCGAGCACGCGTAGGCAAGAGGCAAAGTTGCATTATGTGATGTCGTGTAGATGTTCTGTCAACACGATCATACTCTGCAGTCATTATAGTAGTGTGCTAGAACCAAAAGGATCGTCGTTTACGGCGAGTCGGGGGAACGCGTACCCTACACCTAGCCTACCCCTAGTTTGCAAATGGGTCAAACCATCATGCGATCTATCGATCATGTCCTTACGCTATACTAGTAGGGTGACCGACTTGTACACAAGGCGGCTGCTATGATCGAGATGTAGCATGCTAAAGAAGCTGTATTGGGATATGGTACGCTTCGGACTCGAAAATGAATGTTGTTGTTTGTTGCACTGCGAGTCGACCCTTACGAGCCGATGTTCGCCATCAGGTCGGATGCAGCTTGGTCTCCACGCAGAAGAGGAAAAATAGGATGCTCCTCAGAGTGACACTGGTACTAGTGGAGGCTGGCTAAGCTATCGATCGCTGTACCATGTTGCATGTGATCCTGCGGCGGCAGTGGCTGCTGGACGATCTTGAGGCGGTAGCGACGGAAGCTCCATGGCTTGGATAGGGTCATCGCCTCATTGGTGAATAAGAATAAGATCTTCGTCGGTACCATGGCTCTTTCTGGCGGCTTCGAACGACGCCAGACTCATCCAGCATGACGGGTGCGCGGGCGACGCAGGGTCCACATACGCGACGCCGCGGGAGGAGATCGAAGTGACAACGATAAAGTGGCCTTGGAAACCATCGCTGGATGGCAGCTGCACGCAGCATGTGAGCTTGCGGGCGTCAATAAGCACAAGCGCCACGTGCTCGCTGTTTGCGAGGGCAGCGCGGAGCGCGTCGATCGAGACACTGCCGCGCCGCGCGCACTTGGCGGCAACGACGGCCTCAAAGAGCGGCTGGATGCGCGCCATATCATCGAGGTAGTCGCGCGTGTAGAACGCGTCGTGGGCCAAGTGCAGCGACGTCTCGAGTACGAGCGAGTAGAACATGATGCGGTCGCGAAGCCGCGCGCGAAGGAGCTCCACGAGGTCGATGGTCCAGATGCTGCGCGTGCGCACTGCGTCGGCGAGCGCGGCGTGGTCTTCGCTTGCATTGGGTGTGGCCCAGGTGAGGACCATTTCTGCACAGGCGAGCCCGCAGTCCCAGTCGTAGCGCTGCCGCACCTGGCGCGCCATGGGGGCTGTGGACTGGAAAGGCGGCATGCCGAAAATAAAGGAGTGGTTTTGATTGGCCGAAATGACGCCAATCGGACGCCCCGCCCACGATCTTTGGCGCCAGCATTGCCGACAGTTTGGCCAACACCGCCTTTTGAACTCCAAGGGTTCATTATAACTTGTATCATCTATATCCAGCGCTGCTGCAATGACAACTACTATGCCTAATTTTGTCTTTCGAAATGACAGATTTCAGCTTCAATTGCACCAACGTATCTTGGGGTGCTTTTATATTCCGCCAACGCTCTGTCGGGAAATGGGTCGGGGGGGATATACAGCAGTATCGTAGCAACTTTGTTCTTGGTGTTTGGTACTTGCACCAATAGCACGTTGATGGGCATCACCGTGCCTTGGTTAAAGACGTGGCACATGCCACGCCAGAGTCATCCGGATACAAAGTGCAATCCGCCACGTACCGGGTGCCTTATCCGGCTCCCTGGCACGATCGACAGAACGTCGTTCAAACCAGGTAATTTAGACATGTGGTAGTCAGATCTAACGCTACACGTCGTTAAAACGCGGGAAAAGACAGATGGGCTGACCTACGACGCCACATTGGATTTTGTTGCGTCTTGTCGCCATGTCCGAGTGGCGCCGCTTCCTCCATGCGTCCAAGAGCCAAAGCAAGCTCACAATGACGCTGCCATTGGACTACATCCAGAAGAAGTCGGCCATGGCGCTCTGCCTCCCCGAGCAGCGCACGGCCATGGAGACCCTCGACAAGCTCACCGACGAGGCGACCTCTGACTATGCGACCGCAGAGAACTGGCCGCTCATCATCGCGGTCGTCGACAAGCTCAACGCCGTTCTGGACGACGAGGTACCGCGATCGCTCTCTACACCCGTGACATCGTCGCATAGGTGCGCGACGAGGCGGCGCGAATGGTGCGCATGCGGCTCGCGAATCCGTCGACGACCGTCGTTCTGGCCGCGCTGCATCTGGTCGAGGCCATCGTCAAGAACTGCGGCAAGGTAATGACCATCGCTGGATGTCAACCTCTCATCCATGCATGGCTAGGGCATGCGCCAGCGGATTGCCAAGCCCAAGTTCATGCACACCCTCGAAATGCTCTACAAGGAGCACGCGACCAAGCGCGGGCGCGACAGCTTGGAGATCCAGGCGCGGACGCTGGAGCTCGTGCAGGCGTGGGGCGAGGCCTTCCTTCCGTTCCGGCGCGACTTTGCGGGCTTTGTCGACACGTACCATAAAATGCGCATCCAGGGCGTGCATTTTCCAACGCAGTACGACACGACGCGGGCGCCCGTGCTGTCGCCGCCGCGCGGCCAAGAAGACAACCCGTTTGCATTTGCAGCAGGTCTGTATCAAGTGCTATTGTGGACAAGTTGTCATGTTTGGCGTAGACCAAGTCGAGGACGAGCCGGCGCCAAGTGCGTACAAGGACCTCCCGCCCGAAGATACGTACCACGTGACCAAGAATATCATGGACATGATGGACGATATGCTCCACGAATGCAGCAAGACCAACTATGCGACACTCCACAGCAACGATATTTTGCAGGTTTAGTCCATATGTCGCCGCAAATAGTCGACTAAGGTGGTGTAGGACTTGGCCGTGCAGCTCAAGCAACTCGAGAAGCGGCTTGTTGTCGTCATCGAGCAAGAAGCCAATCGCAACGGCGCGGTACACATTCTTCTTTTCAAGGTATCAAGTTGATATCTTACCGGATGTAGCACCTGGAAAAATACCTGAGCTTGAACGACGAAGTGCAGCAAGCGTTGTTGCACTACAAGGAGGCGTGTGCGATCGCGGCCAAGCTCATGACCAGTCCTCCGGCGTCGTGCAAGCACAAGCGTACGACCCATTTGACTACGATGACGACGGCTGCATCATCGCTGTAGAAGACAATGCAGCGCCTGACGATGACCTTGTCAAGGAAGGCGTGCTCTCTCCCCGCAAAGCCGCCAAGTCGACCTTCGCCGACGACCGGGCGACGCCCAAGACGACGACAACCGACGACGATGACGAGGATCCATTCGCGGCGTTTGCTAAAGAGCGGGTGCAGAAGCTGTCGGCGGTCGCCCCGTCCGTGGAGAGCGCAATCGGTCCCCTTATCTCGTTTGATGATGACGCACCGGTGGTTGCCCCTATCACAGTGCCCGAGACGAAGAAGGATGACGCACCGCTGATTTTCTGGGACGATGATCTGACGTCGACACTGGTATGAAGCGCGTGGTGTCTCTTGTGAAGGCAGAGGCGTCTGACGTCTATGTAGGCGCCGCTCCCAAAGGCCCCGTCGTCGTTCAACCCCTTTGATAGCCCTCGCGGGCTCGCCCCGGCGCCCACTGCAGCAGGTCCGTTTGCTACAGTGGCAGCCCCGCCGGCGACAAAACCTCCAACCAATCCGTTCGACTTGTTATTTGACTGAGGTATCTCCTCGTCGAACACTAAGCTATAAAATTTGTCGCATGTTTGTCCTACCTCGTTTGGTATAATAGCCTAAACACTTCTCTCGTGGTCCATGCTTTACTAGGACGAGGCGACGCTTTGTGTGCAAACACCCAACCCAACGAGGTCGGAGGCCAGGCAACTATCAACTTGATACGCGGCCGTGACAGCCTGTCCGCGTCCGTATAGAATACAACTCTGTCAGGAACCCTTGTAGCAACAACAGACAAGAATCGTGTATTCAGCAACGATGCGTCGGGACCTGTCGACCGAGTTCTCCGAGACACGCGTGCTGGACAGTCTGTCCTTCGAGCTAAAATGCAATGTCTTTAGTGCACGGCGAGGCGCGTCGTTAGGAACTGCGCGACGGCCGTGTGCCCCATGAACATGGCGGCGTCCTGCGCGCGTTGCAGGTGGCAGGCGCTCGTCGAGGCGGCCAAGAACGTGACAAGGTCCAAATGGCCGTAGCGAGCAGCGTGGATGATCTCGCTGCCGAGAAGACGCATGCGCCCGTCCGAGACGAGGCGGCGGACGAGGCGGTCGTTGCCGCGCTTGGCCGCGAAGAGAAGGCCGCTGTGGCTGCACCCTTCCGTTCGATGCGCGTAGAGCCACTCGTTGATGTCGGTATGGCCGTGGAAGATAGCTTGGTCCATGGCACGTGTCGTGCAGCCGTCACTACGGTGCTTTGCAAGGTACTGGACGACGTGGAGGTGGCCGGCGCCCGCTGCCACGTCCATTGTGTCGGCACTAAAGCCTTCGTACGCGTGGGTGCTCAGAAATGCCATGACGTCGATGGCTCCATGGGTCGCGGCGGCGTGAACGAGCCGGCGCTGGTCGAATGGTGACAGCAAGGTCGTCTTGTGGAGCGACGCCAAGAGCGCTGCGTCGTTGCGGTATGCGCAGTAGAGGAAGAGCATGCAACCGAGGTTGGCCATGTCACGCATCGCGCGGCGAACGGCGGGCAGGCCATGGGCGGCGATCCACGGCTCGAGAATGGCGGCCACGACGTCGATCGAAGGCATGGGCTGCTCTTGCGCCGAGCGCACGAGGTGGTCGAGGCCGCGCAGCTGCAGCGAGACGATGAGCTCGAGCTGCTCCTTGTACCAGCCGTCTTGGTACGCAAAGACGACGTCGAGGAGGTCGCGCGAGTGCAGGACGGCTTCCATATTTGGTGTTGGCGACGCTGCTGCAAGCGCATCCATGGCTTCGAACTTCGGGCGCCAGCCAATCCTGCGTCGCGATATGTGGCACGGCCGCTTCGAATATTGCTGACTCGCTATATACATATTGCTCCCAAGAGTGCGCTCAAGCACGCAATATGCATTGCGATGTGCTGAGACGCAACAGCAACGCGGCATGCGATGGTAGTGTATTGACCTCAAGACGCAACCTTGAAGTGTGGTGATAATGGATCATATTCAATAGTGTCTTTTACCCAACGAGGTGCCCATCTAGTCGAATTGAACACCTCGAACCCACGATGATATTGACCGATGGCGGGTTGATATTGCACATCAATATTTGCAAGCATGACTCAGAACGGCCGTGCGCCCTTTGTTGTGTCGCACTTGACGTATCGACGACATGGACTATAGTAAGAAAAATGCATTTAACGGGTTAATATTGCGTGTTCTAAAG